TTAGATTCTAGAAAAACTAAATAAGAATTAGTCTTTTAACTAGCTCTACTATTATTTAGTTCTTAGTCTTGAAACTAATTTATACTAATTTTTATAATAGTTAAAGAATATTGATAACTATAACTAGCGGTAATCATCACCGGTATGTAATTAGCCAATAAATTTGCAGAATCAGATATAACGTGTTATATAACAAAAACAAAGAAATTTTTTAAAAAAATGCTAATATCTCAAGAATTCGCCTATGAAACCACCTTCAATATTCTAACAAAAAAATTCTTTGCTAAAATTTGCATATATATAACATCTTGTTAAAATCCTAGGCCTCGCCCTAACCCTAAAGTTAATAAAATTAAATCTTTTTATTGTTATTGGCTAATTATACACTAGTAATGATCATCACTAGTTATTTAAAGTTAAATTCTTTTTTTATAGTCCTTGCTTATTCTATATTTTTTGTTAAAACAAATAAAGCAAAACAAAAATATAGAATAAACCAATCAGAAAGATATTTAATACAAACATTTTATTATTAGTATCAAGATAATCAAGATTCATCTTATTAATTGAAAGAATTGAAAGAATAATGATGTAAACAGATAAAAAAATAATTAAATTTGAATTGACCAAGTTTACTAATTTAATTTTTTTGTTTAATTATTTTAGCAACTCTAAATCAGGTAAATCGTTTAAAATCCTATCATCAATTGTCATAGTTTGAATTTCTTTTCTAGAGGTTTTATTTACGAGCTTTTTTCGGATGGATAATATCAATGTTATAATTCCACTTAAAACTATAAAGCTTGATGTTGTGATAAATCTAACTTTTCCGATTTTTTCACCTCCCCACAATAACACTGCTCCAATAATCATAGTAAAATTCGCTCTAAGTAAGTTTATTGTCAGTAATTTACTTCTTTTAACTAAATGTTCTAAAGTTTTCGTGTATTCTTGAATATTTTGAAAGTAAGGTGGAATAGTTGTCATGCTAGGAGTTTGTTAAAAAATTTTCTAATAAAAATAAACGGGCGAAAAACTTTTAAGTCTTCAAGAAAATATATTATTCCTAAAATTTATTGTTACTTAACTAATAACTTTCAAATAAGCAACCTATAATATATAAAAAAAAACAAATACCGGTACATCCTTTTTTTCGAAATATTTTAAGAATACTAGTAACACAAAGAAATTTAAATAAAATAGCTAGTTTTAGTACTTCACTATTAAAGAGGGGAACAATGGATAAAATATTATTGATTCGATCAGAATTTATCGAGCAATATCGATATAGATATGGGTTCTTTCACATGATTTTTTGATTTGTAAATATCAACGATTAATCAAATTTTGATTGTTGTGATAAATTGGGATATTTATATGTAAAATAGTTTAGTACGTATACATTATACTGATGTCGATATGAGAAAAATTAGAGCAGAAAATCAGCGTATATAAAATTACTGCGTATAGAACTGTACCAAATTATAGTATGCTAAAAGTTTTACCACGAATAAACTTGTGAATAAAAATCTCAATTTGGAGAATGGCTAAAGCTATGTAATTAAAATTAGGATTAGGATGGGTTTAATATTAAGGTTAGGTTAGAGATAAAGCTTATTTACAGTAAATTGCCTTCCCGACATTTTTTTATTAATACCCAAAGACAAGTTTAGACTACTGTTTCTGATATTTTTAACGTTTTTTAATTTTTCGTTCATTTTTTACTTTGTCGGGCTGATCCGTGTAAACAAAATTTCACGATTTTGATTGGTCGATCGACAAAAAAAGTCACATGGGTACATGGCTTTAGACGACCTCTCAAAATGGGGTCCTTAAAGCGGGGGAGATTACGTGAAAATCATTATTTTATTAACATTAGGGTTAGGGCCCTTTTACGTTATGGATAGAGTCATTAATATTGGTAAAATTTCCCTCCCGACATTTTTTATTAATGCACCAAAGTGGGTTCCGTTTCTTGGATTTTTCGCGTTTTTCTCTTTTTTCGCTTGTTTTTCTTCGTCGGGCTGATCCGGGTTTATCAAATTTTCGCGATTCTATTGATTAATTATCGCAAAATCTACCCCGCTTTTAAGGAACTCCTCAAAATGGAAACTACCCTTCAAAAAAAGGGGGTTTCCTAGTCCATTACCTATTTAGGCTAATTATCATCTGAGACATATGCATAAAATACATCATTATCGTTATCGTTATATCAACCATAGACATAAATATTTATATAAACCCATCCTACTCACCAACCTTTTCTTGTTCCTACAAACAATTAAAAATGAAATCTGAATATAAGAAATACTCGCGAAAGCCCTGGTGAGTTCTTTTTACTCGCTTAGCATTTTTTTGCTGAATATACGCAGGGTGTAAGTTACGCTGCGGTTGAGTGAGCCCAGCGGGGGCTCGGCCACGTTGTGGA